ACTGCTGGTTTAGGCCCAATCCCTGTAAACTGGCAGGACATTTTTCGAGGGGTCCAAAATTGGAGAGGGTGCAAGCCAGGCTGAGGAACACACCCTCCCCCGTGCACGAATTTCATGCACTGGTCCACTAGTTAAAGAATAACAGAATAATGAAATTAAATGTTTCAGAGTAATATTACATGAGCACTCATGTAACTGCTATTGAAATTATAAATGAGCAAAGCCTTTCTGAAAAACATTTAGATAAGAGCCTTAAAAATATACTCTAACTTAGGAATTCTATTTCTGTGAATGTTGTCTATGGAAATCATGTGAAAGAACAAACATTAATTGCAGTGTTATTTGACTATGGCAATACATTGAGGAACATTGACATCAATCTGGAAAGTGAAATATATATGATTTAATATATATGATATACAGTAGGTCCTTGTGTTAGGTCGGAGATCTGTTCCTACGGCACGACGTAATGGCGCAATATAACGCCGTAAGTCGGAACCCACCTACTAAGCACCTATGTCACTCACATGGAGCACATACACAGCAGTAATGAAGTGAAACAGTAAAAAAAAATTTTAAAGAAAGATAATTCCTGACCTTTACTTGTGGTAAATAAATAATAAAAAACATAAAGCACATATATTTTATTTTATTTTTAAAAAATAAATGGGAGATGGCGACGTAACCATGAAACGATGTCCGTCGAGTCCAATGTAATCTGAGGACTGCCTGTATATATATAAAATCAATGGTATATATTGATTCAATATATTATACATGTACCCATAAGTAGTATTGACAAGGGATCTTTATTACTTACAGATATGCTTATTTTTGCTACTACAAAATTCTCTTGTGAGAAAGTGACGTGTGATTACAACTATGTTTAAAAATAACAAAAAACAATCATACATATTCAGAAATGTACTGGTTTGTGAGCAAGTATCCATAGTTCTAGGAGGAAAAAAGCTAATCTTAGTAGCTTTACCTGTGGGTATCAAATTTAAGGCCATTTTAGTTTTCATTATAATTTTCTGTGTTTTTCAAATATATATTTTAAAATCAGCTTACTTTATTTATTTTTTTGCTGTTTGCTATCTTTGAGGATCCTGTTATCTATGAGTTTCTTGTTATATGGGTTACATTTTAATACCATAATGCCACTTGAGTTGTCTTTCCATTTTTGCTTTTTGTAGGCCAAGATAGCCAGGTTAACCAAACGCTTTGGAGCAGCCAAAGAAGATCTTAAGAAAAGACAAGAAGTAAGAATTTCTATTGTTGCACAATTAATATTTAGCTCTAACTGATAATCTTAGTTAATGCTGAATTAGGAGGAAACACTTCCTTTATTACAGTTCTGAAGTTTGCTCTCATTCACTGTACTTACTGTATGTTGTTTCTGCAGCTCTATAATTAATTTTTAACCCTTTCTTAATTTTCAATTACTGTTTTCACATTTTAACACATATCAATTACTTTTAATTTATGGCATTCTTGAAGCCGTATTTTCTATACATGCAGACTGAAGGGTCCCGGGTTTGATTCTGGTCAAGGGCACATGCCCTGGTTGCGAGTTCGATCCCCAGTAGTGGGTGTGCAGGAGGCAGCTGATCAATGATTCTCTCGCATCATTGATGTTTTTACCTCTTTCTCCCTCTTTCTCCTTCTCTGAATTCAATAAAAATATATATTTTTAAAAAATTATGTTTTTTGGGATTTATCCTAGTCTAGTCTGTTATCGTTTTAGTATTCCACTGCCTTCAGTAGCCCCGTTCTGCCCTTCCTTTCTTACACTATGTAAGTTAAGTCCAAACATGGTAGCATAACATAAACACTATTCTATAGTCTAGTTTTTCTTTTTGTTGTTTCCTTAGTTACTCTGTAGTACATTATTTAAAACAATTTAAAAATATGTTTTTATTGATTTTTAGAGAGAAAGAAAGGGAGAGGGAGAGAGAAACATGGATGTGAGAAACATCGATTGGTTGCCTCCCGCATACATCCCAACAGGAATTGAGCTTGAAACCTGGGCATGTGCCCTCCCTGATTGGGTATCGAACTGGCTCCTTTTGGTGCACGAAGATGATATTCAACCAAGTGAGCCACACCAGCTGGGGCATGCAGTACATATTTTTAATATAGCATTTGCATGTTGCTTTTTAGTTTTTCAGTTGAATTTCTTTCTCTTCCTCTTGACTTTTTTCCCCATTTGAGCAATTCACATTTCTTTTTGTATTGATAGATCCATTATCTGGCACATGATAATTGCCAATAATAATTATTTCATTAATAATCACTATTTCTACAAGATTTTTCTGTCTTGATTCATTTTCTCACTTGACTTAAAAATAATTTTATAGTTTCAACCTTACCTTGTCCCTCCACCCCCACTGACTTCCTTCCCCCCACAACTAATAATTTGTTCTTCATCTCTATATTGTTTTTACTTAACTTTTAAAATTCTGTTTTCTCTCTTTTTTTCTTGAGTAACTGACAATTGGTTTTTTCCTTTGTTCTATATAGACTAATTTCCCCAAACTCGCTTAGACATATCCAAAGATTTTTCATTATAGATTTTTCAACTACGTAATTTCCTGATTTTAAATTTCACTTTCTCAACTTTGTTTCTTTGTTATAATGTGTAAAATGAGCTATTTTATTTCTTATATTAGAAAATTTGTATAAATCTTTTTTGAACCGTTTTTATTTGCTATGCCTAGTAAAGTATATGTAGACATTCACTAGATATTTATTGAATGAGTATATCTGGTTTATTATTAATATTTTTATTGTTTTGTTTATTGAGCCCTTACAGCATGTAAACCATTTTCATAGTCTTCATTTTATTTGCTCATCTCAAAAAACTGAGGTATCAGAATTTTATTACATTTGTCTTTTGTATAATAAGCAGTTGTTTCCATTAAGTACTGTGCTTAAGACAGCTAACAAGTGGCAATTCCAAGATTCAAATTCTTGTCTCAACTAATATTTTTCATGGAATTATAGAAGTAACAGATAATATATTGATAAAGCATTTAAGGTCTTATTTTTAAAGATTTGTTTTATATTGGGTTTTATTTTAGCTTGGTATTTTTCTCCCTTAGAATCCACCAAACCCACCTGTACCTGTATCACCAGGAAAGTCTATAGCTGATGTCAGCAGCAATAACAGTGTGCCCTATAGGTGAGAATAATAAATAGTCTATTTGTCAAGTATTTATTCCCCTCCCCCCTTTTTTTTCTTTTTTTTCCTTTTTCTTGTGTTAATCCTCACATGGGGATATTTTTCCATTGCTTTTAGCTAGAGTGGAAGGGAGGGAAAGATGGAGGGAGGGAGGGAGGGTTACTGGGGTGAGGGGGAGAACATCTATGTGAGAGAGACACATTGACAGGTTGCCTCCTGCATGTGGGGACTGAACCTGCAACCTAGGTATGTGCTCTTGACCAGGAATGGAACCTGCGACCCTTTGGTGCGTGGGCCGACTCTAACCACTGAGAACACTCCCAGGGCCTCTTTTTCTACCTTTTAAAAATAAAATTCACTCATTTTTCCCATCCACCAGCCCCCACTTCTGGCAACTACCAATCTGTTCTCTATATGAATTTTAAAAAATACATATTTTTTTTAGATTTCTTAAAATAAATTTTGTTTTTTTAGATTTCTTTCTCTCTTTAACTTCGCTTATCAGCATGTCTTCAAGATCCATCCATGTTGGGGGTCAAATGGGAAAATTTTTTTTATGGCTAAATAATACTCCTATGTGTGTGTATGTATAAAAGTTTGCTTACCCATTCATCCATAGGTGAACACTTAAGTTGTTTCCATATCTTGGTTATTTTAAATAATGCTGCATTGAAAATGGTTATGCATATATCTTTTCTAATTAGTATTTTGGTTTACTTCAAACAAATATCCAGATGTGTAATTGCTATGTCATATGGTAGCTCTATTTTTAATTTTTTGAGGAAGCTTTGGACTGTTTTCAATAGTGACTGCACCAATTTACATTTCCATCAATAGTGTGCAAGGTTTTTAAATAGCAAGTCTGTCAAGTTTCCAAATAACTCATATGTAGAATCTAATGAACAAAATTAACTGTTGAACAAAATAGACCCAGAGACATAGAAGCATGGTACAGACTCTAGAATCTCAGTGGGAAGGTGCGGGTAGGTAGGAAGAGATCAAAGAACTTGTATGCATAAATGCATAACCCATGGCACAGACAATAGGGTGTGAAGGCCTGGGGTAGTGGGTGGGGTGGTTAGAAGGGGTCAGTGGGGGGAAAAAAGGGACATATGTATTACTTTCAACAATAAAGATTTTTAAAAAATAAAGTAATAAAATAAGAGAACAAGTTTCTGATTTTATTTTGCAGAAACATCTTGGAATCTAATCTTAGGTATTAGTATAGAGACAAGTGGTATACCAAATTAAGTGTATTTCCTTCCTTTTTGCTTTGTTATGGATATTGGTTTTGGTAATTTATTATAAGGCTTTCTGTGGTCATTGCAGATTTCTTTTATCACTTGTACTAAATAGTATTCTCTCAAGTAACTGAGAAATGCTTTGGTCAGGGGTGATAAAAGCTAGTGTCTGCAGATTTTAGGACCTACATTTGGTTTTCAGGTAAAAGTATTAAGGACATTAGAATATAAGAGGAAGACTCTTCTCTAATGCCATAGGACACTTCCCCTCCTGCCCTAGCATTCTGAAGTCTATGTGGTGGTTTTCCCTCAGTGCATTCACTTGAAATTTAATGCTGCAATAGCTATGTCTAGTCACTCTTTCCCATGGGCCACTGCTTTATCTATACATAAATTGAAGTTCCCTACAATGTTATATTCATGACTGACTATTTTTGTGTATATATATTTCATAGAAACACAGGTACAGTGAGACAGTTGCTGGAGTCCAAAAGAAATGTAAGCGAGAGTACACCACCATCCATTCAAACCCCTGTGAATACAGGTAACAATATTTTTTAACACTGAAATACATTTTCTTAGTGTAATTGGAGACGTTGTTTTTCTTTTCTTTTGAGGATGAAATTTGCTAGAAACTGAGCATACTGCCTAACCGGTTTGGCTCAGTGGATAGAGCATCGGCCTGCGGACTCAAGGGTCCCAGGTTCAATTCTGGTCAAGGGCATGTACCTTGGCTGTGGGTACATCCCCAAAGTAGGAGGCATGCAGGAGGCAGCTGATTGATGTTTCTCTCTCATCGATGTTTCTAACACTCTATCCCTCTCCCTTCCTCTCTGTAAAAAAACAATAAAATATATTTTAAAAAAAAAAAGAACCTGAGCATATTGATCTAAAATTGAGTGCTTAAGTATATAATTTTATTTAAACACTAGAGGCGCAGTGCATGAATTCGTGAGGTCCGGCTGGCCCAGCCCCAATCGGGGTGGATTGGGGCCGGGCCTGTCAGAAGGAGGAGATGGCGGGAGGTTGGCTGCCTGGCCCATCCCCGTTGGGGTGGGGGGGCCGATCTGGGGTGGGGCCAGGCAGGAGGAGGGGCTGCAGGAGGTTGGCCAGCCCACCCACCCCCTATTGAAGTAGGGGGATGTGCAGTCAGGGGCAGGGCCAGCCAGGGGGATGGGCTGTGGGCTGATCAGGGTGGTCGGGGCCCACCGGGGGTGGGGCCTGCTGGGGGGAGGGGCTTCAGGAGTTTGGCCAGCGAGCCCCACCCCTCTGATCAGGCGGTTTGCTGGCCGCAGTGGGCATCATAATGACTAGTCGTTCTGGTTATTACAGTGTTTTGTTCTGGTTGCTGGCTTTTTATATATATAGATTAGGATTCCATATATGAATGGAAATACAGAAATTGAAATCTCTACTGTAGTGGTTCTCAAACTTTTTAGTCACCATATCCCTGTATAATCTTAAAAACTATTAAGAATCCCAAAATTTTTGTTTATGTGGGTTATGTTAATTGATATTTACTATTCATTAAAAAATAATAGACACTGCCTAGCCAGTTGGGCTCAGTGGATAGAGTGTCATTCTACATACTGAAGGTCCCAGGTTTGATTCTGGCTGAGGGCATGTGCCTCAGTTGCAGGCTCAATCCCCAGCCCTGGTCGGGTGAGTGCGGGAGGCAACCAACCGATGTATCTCTCTCACATTGATGTTTCTCTATCTCTCCTCCTTCCTCCAACTCTAGAAATCAATGGGAAAATATCCTTGGGTGAGGATTAACAAATGAAAAAATAATTATTAACACCTTATTTTGCAACACGTGTTTTAATGAAAAATAACTTCTAAGCTTAAAAAAGTAATGAAAAGAGTATGATTGTCTTACATTTTTATACATTTCTTTTATCTCACTTAAAACATTAAGATCCCTATGAAAGCGGGATTCTTATATCTACATCTGCATTCCTTGTTGAAGTTTGTTGTTTTGATTGAAATATATGAAGAAAATTCTGCCTCATACAAATTTGTGGTTGGAAAAGGCTAGCTCTTTTAGAGAACTGTGGATATTTTCTTTGAAAATCAAGTAGTAGTTTGTTTGTTTATTTATTTATTTACTTTTTATTGATTTCAGAGAGGAAGGGAGAGGGAGAGAGAAACATCAATGATGAGAGAAACCAGAATCGAACCTGCAGGCTGATGCTCTATCCACTGAGGGCTATTTTGTTTGCTTTTTTTTACTGTGAACATGTGATGGTAAAAAATGTAGTGATAATTTTAGTACCACTACTTGATTTTTGTACTGAAGTATCAGAAGTTTTACTCATCATTGCTTTGGCTCCATCAGTGCAAATATCTACATGGTGAAAAAGTAAAATAATGTTTTATTATTGTTATGAAAATAGTTTTGATATTGCAAGCTCTTGAAAGGGTCTCAATTACCCCAAGTATCCCACTGAACCATACCTTGAAAATTGCTGCTCTCAGTATGCCCGTGATTTTGGAAGAAAGACTACAGATCAATGAGAAAGACACTTAGCCATCTAGCTTCCTTATTTCATCTCCCATCGACACTCTGCCATCTTCCATTTATATATATAAAAGGCTGATTTGCAAAGTGTCCCCTCAGGAGTTCGACCAGGAGACCAGGAGTTCGAATGCTCACTATGACATGTGCTTACCACCAGGGGGCAGCATGGGACAAAGAAAGTCCCCAGCCAGCAGCCGGGGAAGGATAGCCCCGGTCGGCAGTTGGAGGAAGGCCCCAGCCAGCAGCTGGAAGGCCCCGATCAGCCCTGATCGCTGACCAGGCCTAGGGACCCTACCTGTGCATGAATTTTGTACCCTGGGCCTCTAGTCCTATAAAATAAAGAGCTAATATGCTAATTAGACCAGATGGTGGAATGACCTTCTAGGGCGGGGGGGGGGGGGGGGGGGGGCAGGGCCGTGAGGCAGCCGGGGCTGCGAGGGCTGAGCCCCTTACATGAATTTTGTGCATTGGGCCTCTAGTATTATATAATGTTAATAGAGTATCAGTGTAGGCAGCCTTCTGTCTCTAGTTCTTCTCCCAGGCAATTCAATACAACTTGATCCGAAGATCCAATTTCATATGGTCCAAATGATAAGATACATGACCAAGTTTGCCTATTCATTAATAGTGATGATGCTTACTAGACTTTCTATTTGAGTTTATATATTGCTAGTGTCCCAAAGCATTTGTAATGTTTTAAATGTAGTTTCAAAAATATCTAAACAATATTACCAATTTTTCAGTTATTTTTCAGTTATGCTATAGTTATTACAGTAATTTTCAGACACTGTTTTGATAAGGAGATAGCAGTCCTTCATATTAATCATAAACCATGTGATGTTTTCATAATAGACTGATCATAGATGCAAAATGCTTCTACAAATTTAACTCAAAGAAGTTCAAGAATTTAAATCTGGAAAGAATTTCATTATGAAGGACTTTACTGTATCTACTGCAATCCATTAAATTATTATTGTGTTATATTATCCTAGCTGATAAATGGAGATAGCCATTTAAACAGATTTCTTTTTTCTTTCTATAGTGTCTTCAACCAATCTTGTCACTCCTTCTACAGTTGTCAGTAGTCAACCTAAATTGCAGACTCCAGTGACTTCGGGTTCTCTGACATCAATTCTTCCTGCACCCAACACAGCTACAGTAGTTGGTACTACTCAGGTGCCTAGTGGAAATCCCCAACCTACAATCTCTTTACAATCATTACCAGTGATTTTGCATGTACCTGTTGCGGTATCCTCCCAGCCTCAACTTCTACAGAGCCATCCCGGGACTTTAGTAACTAATCAACCATCTGGCAACGTTGAATTCATTTCTGTACAGAGCCCACCTACAGTGAGCAGTCTCACCAAAAATCCAGTATCCTTGCCATCCTTGCCAAATCCCACTAAACCAAACAACGTTACTTCTGTGCCCAGCTCTAGTATTCAAAGGAACTCTCCTGCCAGTGCTGCACCATTAGGAACAACACTTGCTGTACAGGCTGTTCCAACAGCGCACTCTATTGTACAAGCCACAAGGACTTCTTTACCCACAGTAGGCCCATCAGGACTCTACAGTCCATCAAATAATCGTGGTCCTATACAGATGAAAATTCCAATTTCTGCTTTTAGTACTTCATCTCCTGCAGAACAGAGCAGCACTACTACCCCAAGAATTGGTAAGTCACTGTGTAGCTTTAATAATAGAAATTAAAGCTTGCTAATGATCTGTAGATAATTGAACTTTTCTATTTGTTTGTAGAAGTGGCTAGCATCATTAGAAAAACAAAGTAAATGGAATATTCTGGGGGTTATTTTTATTTTTTTTATTATTTTTTAAAAATATATTTTATTGATTTTTTTACAGAGAGGAAGGGAGAGAGATAGAGAGTTAGAAACATCGATGAGAGAGAAACATCGATCAGCTGCCTCCTGCACATCTCCTACTGGGGATGTGCCCGCAACCCAGGTACATGCCCTTGACCGGAATTGAACCCGGTAACCTTCAGTCCGCAGGCCAACGCTCTATCCACTGAGCCAAACCGGTTTCGGCCCTGGGGGTTATTTTTAATAAGTTTTAGTTACATAAGAAATTATGTTGTTAAAATGGGATTTGAGAGAGAGTTTGTTTTGAGTGAGAGGCTAGCATTTGTATTTAACTTTTAGGCGTTTTTCTAATCTGGGTGAATTTTTTTATTTAGGCTTTGTAGCAAGCATTATTTTATAATACATTTTCCAGGAATATATGAATAGAACAAATTTATTTTAAAGTATCTAATTGACCTAATGTATGCTTAAAAGAGGAAAATAAACATCACATATTTTCCCTACCCATTTGTGTGCTCATCACTCACATCTTCCAAATTTGAACAGTTTAAAAATAGGTTCTGCCCTCTCTAGTTTACTACGCAGTGCTTGATTGTGTCTTGTTTTCTCTGTTGTATATTTTCCCCTATGACATATTTTATGATTATGTTTGTATATATGTGTACTTTGAAGTATTGCAAAAGGAGAGCTTGATTGTATCTGTATTTAAAATCTTTTAAACTCTTTTTTAAACTACATTTTGTATGCATTCTCTTTTTTTCAATTATAGTTGACATTCAATATTTTATATTAGTTTCAGTTATAGAATAGTGGTTAGACATTCATATAATTTATGAAGTGTTTCCTTTGATAAGTCTAGTAACCATCTGGCACTATGCATAGTTATTACAATATTATTGACTATATTTCCTACAGTATATGTTATATCCCTATGACTATTTTGTAACTACAATTTGTATTTTTTAATCCCTTTAGCTTTTTCCCCCAACCCTCATCCCATCTGGCCACCATCAGTTTGTTGTTTTGAATAATTAATGCTTAGCCTAGAGACAATTTAAGTCAAAGAGAGGTTCATGCTGGGTAACAAATTTCTAATAGTTATTTAAATTATAAGTGTGTGTGTGTGTGTGTGTGTGTGTGTGTGTGTGTGTGTATACGTATGCATGTTTCTGTATATAAAGCACAACCCAACTTTTCACATTTTTAGGTGCTTTTAAAAATGGCTGACTTTTTAAATTTTGACTCCTCAGAAAACCAGACAAACAAAACAATAGATGCTTCTGTTAAGAAAGCAGCTGATAGCACATCACAGGTAAGATTTTCCTTCTGTTTCAAATTAAAATTCTAATTATAGTCCACAAGACAATGGATTTCTACCAGTATTCTTTAATACAATGAAAATTATTCTGTGTTCTTTACAACTCTTCAAAGATTTCCAAACAGCTTCTCTGTTATATTGAACAAGAACTGACTTTCTTTGCTTAGTAATTCTCCTAGAGGTAATGTTATTTTATTATATTGACTAACTGCTTGGCTTATATAATTGACAGTCCAGCTATTTGCCTAAGTGGCAAATATAAAACACTGTGAAACAGCCTGTGATTCTTTAGAATATCCTTTTCTGATTACTTATGGCTAACTTACTTTTTCTGTGACAAATCTTACTAGGTTGAACACTTTAAAGTTAGTAGAGTTTCAAAGAAATCTGAATGGGCTTGTATGGAAATGGTGGTTGTTTAATCAGACCTAGTTAGGAACTCATTAAATATGTAAAATATTATCTTTTTTTGTAGTCATTGAATGAAGATTTCTCTAATGTCCTCCAAATAATTATTTGTCAACATATTTCACATAGAATGTTTTATTATAACATATTTTTTCACATATCTCATTTCATATAATACATTAATATATTTAATATAGTGTAAAAATTATTTATTCACATTATCAGCATATATTATAAAACAATGTAGAATTTTTTTATGCTGCTGTCTGTAATTATAGTCCTGATTTGAGGGACTCAGGTTCACCCTCAAGTTGGTTGATTTGCTAGAACAGTGGTTCTCAACCTTCCTAATGCCGCGACCCTTTAATACAGTTCCTCATGTTGTGGTGACCCACAACCACAAAATTATTTTCGTTGCTACTTCATAACTGTAATTTTGCTACTGTTATGAATCATAATGTAAATATCTGATATGCAGGATGTATTTTCATTGTTACAAATTGAACATAATTAAAGCATAGTGATTAATCACAAAAACAATATGTAATTATATATGTGTTTTCCAATGATCTTAGGTGACCCCTGTAAAAGGGTCGTTCGACCCCAAAAGGGATCGCGACCCACAGGTTGAGAACCACTGTGCTAGAAAGACTCATAAGGCCCATAGCAGGGTACTTACGGTTTATACAGCAAAAAGATAGAAAGCAAAAATAACAAGGAAAAGATAAGCATCAAGTAGGGTTCAGAGAGGTTAGACACAAGCTTCTAAATCTTCCCCTATCCATCATCACATAGCATGTGCTTTCTCTCTCATTATTAACTTCAGTGACAAGTACCAAGAGTCTCTGCCCAAAGAAGCCTGACTAACTCTCAAGGTCTGAGGTAGTTTAGAGGGCTGGTCATATAGCAATATCTTTCTATGTAACCAGTTGAAACTCAAAAACCCAATAGTAAAATCAGACATACATCAATAATCTTGATGTTTGTGCGAATCAATCTTGACAAGGCAGTATGACAAATTCCACTTTTCAAGGTGTTCAAAAGAAAATTATTAATCATTAATGGAAACTTTTCAAAGGCCACATTCTTGGTAGCTAATCAAGTCTCAGTTATAGTTCCAAGTTCCCTTGGAGAGATGTGCAAAAAGTGAACAACCAGGTGTTCTGTGTTAAGTTCCTTCACAATTGGTGAAGTGCCCTTATTGTAATTTTTCATATATGTTCTTTTTGTTTGTTTTATTACAAAAAAAACACAAAAAACAACCCTCTCTTGAAGTTTTCTTAGTGTTGACTTAATGAGAGTGGTCATATTGGAGAAGTGTACACCATTAGATAACTTTTAATAAAATAGATTCTTAGTATAAAACCTACTTGTCAACAATTAAGGGTTTTTTTTTTTTTATAGTTTCAAATTGAGAACTTTGGTAAGATTTGTAAATGCAGATATAAATGTGTGATTTCTCTGATTAGATACGTTTTCTCATTAGTGATGTCAGAAAAAATGTAAAAGGACCTATGTATATGTATATGTGTCTGTTTATAAATCTGCACCTAGTGGCATAGATATAATAAGCCCTAGAGTCAGACAGCCTGGCTCCTGTCACTTTTTAGTGGATAGCCTTTGGGCAAGTTACTTAATACCTTGGATTTCTCACCTATAAAATGTGGGTAATGCTATTACCCACTTCATAGGATTACTATAAAAATTAAATTTGTTAATATAAAACATTTAACACAGAGCCCTATAGCAATAGTGTCAACTATAATCTTATAATTGCTATTAATAATTATTGAAATAATTACCAATTTTATTTCTCAAGAAGAAAACATAGCTAGGAAACTACCTGTAATATATAATAATAGATAATAAGTTGTTTGTTAGGTTGTGACCAATAAAAATATAGCAGATTAGATTTTATTGTAGACCTTCTTGTCCTATTATAGAGTATACATTATAGGAAAATATGCATCTCATAATAAAGCATCAAAACATGACATGAAGGCTACCAAATTTATGGAAGAAATAGACAAATAGGACATTTTATTATTATAAAGTTTCCCTCTTTGTATCTTGTCTAATATTTACATGGTCACAGCAGCTTTTTTATATTTACTTTTTTCAGTGTATTTATGTCTTCATATTTAAAGTGAGTATCTAGGATGTCTTATCCCATGTGACAATCCCTATATTTTAATAGGAAATTTTAGTCTGTTTACACGTGGTATAATTATTGATATGGTTGTATTTAGGTCTTCTGTTTTATAATTTTAAAAATTTGTTTCATCTAAATTTTGTTTCTATGTGGTTTCTTTTTTTCTTTATTTTGTGTTAATCTTACGGGGTTTTAAAAAACATTTTATCTTAATTCTCCTGTTTTCCTTTTATTTTTGTTTTTCAGTTTCTACTTCTTAATTGCACATTCATTAATATATTTCCTTTAATTCTCTCTCTTTTCCCTCTCTCTCTCTCCAATCCTCACCGGAGGACACCTTTCCATTGATTTTTAGAGAGAGTGGAAGAGAGGGGGAAAGACAGAGAGAAACATCAATGTGAAAGAAACATATCGATTGGTTGCCTCCTACACACACCGACCAGGGCCCAGGCCAGGTACCTGCAGTTGACGGGAATCCTAAGCAGATGCTCTATCCACTGAGCCAAACTGGCTAGGGCCTTTGAATATATTTTTAACAGCTACTTTGAAGTTTTTGCTAAATTCAAAATCTGGCTTCACTTGGAACCATTTTCCATTAACTACCTTTTGTCTTTGGTTGTATTCTACCGGTCTTCGCATATTTTTGTTATTCTAGTAATTTTTGTTATTGGTTTTTTTTAAAATATATTTTATTGATTTTTTACAGAGAGGAAGGGAGAGGGATAGATAGTTAGAAACATCGATGAGCGAGAAACATCGATCAGCTGCCTCCTGCACGCCCCCTACTGGGAATGTGCCTGCAGCCAAGGTACATGCCCTTGACCGGAATCAAACCTGGGACCCTTGAGTCCGCAGGCCGACGCTCTATCCACTGAGCCAAACCGGTTAGGGCTTGTTGTTGGTTTTGTTGTTGTTATTATGTGGGTCCCCTGGGTCTTGCACAATTCCCATCTGCTCCCTGCAGGCATTTTAACAGACCCTCACCTACTTCCCCCACCTCCCATCACGACCCCAGTTTAATGTAAACACTCAATCTCCGGTATCTGCAGGGGGTGATCTGTGGTGGGCGGAGCTCCAGGGGTAGTAATATTACTGTGCAGGAGGCTTAAAGTTCACAAAGGCGGTGTGGCGGATGGAGTTCCAGGTTTGGGGGCTCTGAGTCCAGAATACCCTGAGGGCCCAGGATGGAGGGAAGATGGATTTGGGGACAAAAGGTCGGTGACGTCCAGATTTGTGGTGGGGAACAGAGTCGGTTGAAATCCAGGATGGGGGAGTCTGAGTCCCGGAGAACCGATTTGGGATCGATTTGGGATCCGGGACTCCTAGGGGCTGGAGTCTGAGCCCGAGGCCATATTGTGGGGGAGGGGAGGGGAGCCAAGGCGGCCAGCGTGGGCCCGGGCAGCCCGTGGTGGTCGCGCACAGACGCACAGCCACGCACA